ATTATGCATTTCCTTTCATTTCACTGGGTCAATAAAAAATACTCACAGTCTTCATCTAAGAATTTATACTGTATGTGTTTCCTGAAAAAATCTTGTATGCCTCTGCAAATTTCTTCCTTTTGTTTAGAAATATGATCATAGTATTGTGTGTAGTCCCTTTGAGAAATACCTGAAAAGAAATATTTTATATTCTGTTATACAGTATTATTTTCAAACCAGCAAGATGTGATTTCAACTTTTTGTTGGAGAAAACCACTAGAGTAGATCAGAAGAACAATCCAATGGATATTGCATGATACTACTCAGCTGCAAAGATTCATATGGATAGGTGAATCCTAAAGTTCCATATCGCCATGAATTCTTACTTCTGGGAATAGTTATTGATATTTTTATTGAGTACCATGGAAAGAATTCCAAGTCACAAGAAAGGCTTGTTACGTAAACAATGCAAGAAGCAATTTTAAATTTGTACACATAATCAACAGCTGCTGCTTTGATTTTTTCCAAAGAAGTATCTGCAAATTGGTATTCTCTTCTACTTTCTTTGGGAAAACAAAATACTCCTCACTGTATGTTTGCCATACTGATACTATATTTCACAGAAGTAGTCTATTTTTCTTGTTCACACATGCTGCTCTGCCTTCACAAGCCTGATTTTTCAAGCCATGGAAAAGTAAACATTCCTTTTTTCAGAGTGACGTGCTAATATTATTCCAAATACCCTAAAAAGACTATTATATGAACTTCCTCAATTTGCTCCAGTCCTAGGAAAAAGGTCTCTGCTCTGAAACAAGGGCTTCTAATTCCTTAATCACATGCTGACACAACTCCCTTCTTTAGCACACTTATATTGCAGTTTTTTCAGGAATATCTAACAATATGATCAATTTGAACACCTCAGGTTTCTTTTAGGTAGATTGGTAAATGTCAACATTACATTCAATGATTGATTCTTGACCATTGTTTGATTCTATTAAGTTAAAGTTTTCTTGGTTGAAGATAAATTTTACTTTATGGAAAAATGTATAAGCCCAAAACAACAACAACAAATTATCTTCAATATTTAAGTTGAATAAATCATAGCAAACAAAATAGTAACCTGAGAGGAAGGACAGGTTACGTTTTTGGGTGACTTTTAGAATAACACACTTATTTGTCCACACATTTTCTCTTGCTAGAATAATAAACATGTACCCCAATAACAGAAACAACAGTTCAAAAACTTGGCTTTCTATGATCCTTCCAATAAGCAATCTGTCGCTAAGTAATACTCAGGCAAGTCTCAAACAAAAAATAGGTAATATTAGTATTACATATATTCTAAATCAGGAATGCAACCATCACTTTCATCTCTGAAATCCAGACAGACATGATGCATCGACAGTACCTTTTTCTGTGGAAACTGAATATGGCTTTAGGATCTCTGTCAACACAGCATTCCAGAGAGTCAGTACCAATGGGTCAGAGGTGGTATCTGAGATGAAAACTGACTGATACAGCCCTGTTCTAATTACTAAAAGTTGACTTCATTCAAAAGCTTATCTTCTTTAAAAGATTACTTTCAAGAGTAAAAAGAAAAACCTCACCAATAAGCTTGTTTTCCTTGACAAAACATCGGAACTCAGCCCCAGGAATTAATTCACACCATTTTCGGAGGACAAGCTGCAGACAAAGGCAAAAATATAACAAGTGTGACAAGGTCTAATAGGCAATTTTATGTCAAGACTGTATCTTAATGACTTCTGTTACCAAATGGTTTTTTAAAGAAGAGGCATCATAAGACATTTTTAACATGAGATGTAGGGAACAGAGTTGTGATCTATTATTTTAATAAGCAGGGGGAAATTGTGCTAAAACTCCTGATGACAAAATGCACCAGTGTCACTTATTTGTCATTTTTGAGAGTTCTGACATAAGACATAATACTAAGGATGACTAAGTCCAATCTTATCACCATTGTGCCATAAGTTGCCCTATAATGCATATGTTCTTGTACCCCTGTAGGAATATCAAAAAATAAAATAATTTCAAAATTATCTACCTTAAGTACCATTTGGTATTCCTAACTCTCATAAAATTATTTATCATAAAGAATCATTATAACCCTTCCATGATATTCTTGTTAAAGTAAACCAATTCTACCTAAGTGGCCCAAGTCATAAATGGGTTTTATTATTGAAATCAGTAATTATTTAATATATAAACTTTCATATACTACTGAATTGCTATAATTTTAGAAAGAGTACAGATGCCAAATGTATGCCTCTGTGTTTTTAAAATGTTCTCTGGAGACAACCAGTCCTGTTCTCTTTCGGCATTAGCTGATAATAAATGGCTAGCACCCCGCCCTCCCTCATCCTCACACACCTCTCTGCCCTGAGAGATGTGAGATGAGACCTGTGAGATGGAACCTGAATTGCTGCAGGCACCAGTCCCCGAATCCCCTCAGTGGGCTTGTTCACGGTGCTTCCCATCGTTCTCACGCGCAACCTTCTATACTAAGCACATAATCATGTTGTCCCGTGACAATGTGATACAAGTCTCTCTTCCCCACTAAGTTCCCTAAGGGCAAGAAACTGGGTTTTATTCATCTTTGTGTTCCCAGCACAGGTAGGTAATATATAGCAGGTGCTTAAGAAATGTCTGTCAAGTGAAACAGCAAATATGTAAGACAAGCAGCCTCTAAAAATTATGTTATAAAAAATATTTAATGACCTGGGAAAATGCTCACATGATGCTACAAGTAAAAATAAACTACAAAAAGTATGCAAAGTATTTATAAAGAGAGTGGGTGTATATATACACACACACACCCCTCAAAAAAAGGGAAGGTAAAGACCAAATGTTAATACTGAGGGTATATCTGGGTGGTAGGTTCCTCATATTTTCTTGAATTTACAATTTTTTGGTAACAAGAAGTTTCTCTTCTTAAAAAACAGGAAAACATTTTTAAAATATGCCTTGGAAATTTAAAATGCACTGGCTTCATCTTTCATTATAACCTCTTGGTTGAGCCTTGTATATGTCATATTTTTAAAAAGAACCTAATTATTAAATGAAGAACCCCAAATTAAAATATTACACAGTTTTTGACTATTAAAAGCTTATGCTGGCACATATGCACACAGTTTTATACATATATAAAACTATATATAAAGACATTTTTATGTTCATAGTAATTTGTATTTAGCAACAAGCAATCGTAGCACACTAACAGCAATTTTTTAGAAAATATGCATAATGTTCAGTGAAATAATATTTTGTACAGGCAATACACACATTGTGGTTGATACAAAAAAAAAAATACAAAAGGGCAAAAGGTGAATCTCTCCCCCAAGTCCCTCTGTCATCCTCAGAGGCAATCAGCACTACCAGTTTCTTATGTATCTTTCCAGAAATAT